TTGTAAGATATATATATATATATATATATATATATATACGGTTGCTCTGCTCCACCTTCATGAATAGAGAAATAGGATGAGAAACCCCATACCCCTTCCTCTCCCGCTCGTTCTTGCTCGTCGAATTCCCCCACATGCTGCGATCGAATTTTCCTGATAGCGGTAGGCAAAAGAGGTATTATGGACTATCGCGTCTGGGTCCTCAGATCGGTGCTGACCGAGTCCCCCACCCCGATGATTCCCCCTCCCGGAGCCCACACGACAGGCCCTACGTCTCACAAGCCCCCCTCCTCCCTCCCCTCTGTGCCCTCGGCTTCCCCCTTCTCCGATGTGTCCCACGGCATCGCATGGGACTCCGTGACACGGAGGATCTCATCCGCGATGGCCTGCAGCCCCGCCGGGCCGACGCCCTGTCCCAGCCGATCGCCCACCTCACGGTAGCGGTCCAACAGCCACGCGGAGAGCTCCGCCTGGCCGGCCTCGCGGTAGAGCGTCGCGCAGGTCAGGAGGAGGCTCAGGCGAAGCGGCTCCAGACGGAGCCCGCGACGGGCGGCGGTGATCGCGTCACGCCCCGCCCCGTCGGGGTTTTCGCGGCGCAGCAACATCGCGAGCGTTTCCCAGGGCGCGGCCGACTCGGGGAACTCGTCCATCGCGGCAAGGCAAAGGCGGCGGCCCTCCACCGCGGAGTCCTGTGCGCGGTCGTGGAGGTACTGGAAGAGCGCGGCTTGATAGTTGGCATCCTGGTCGTCCAGTGCGCCCTTCCCCACCTCCCCCTCACCTTCGCGACGGCGGGTAGCACTCGAGTTGGGGTCGCCGCCAGGGCTCGGGCCGGGTGCGTGGTTGGGATCCCCCCCTTGAGAACGCGCCGCCGCCGCCGCCATCCGCTGGCGGTGCAGACTGGAGTTCGCTCGGTACAGATCAAAAAGTTGTTTGGCGAAGGCGTAGCTCTCATGCTTCCGGCCCGCACTGCGCAGCGCGGCGTGCAGCTTTGTCAATACAAAGAAGCGAAACCGAAGCGGGTCCACCACGAGCTCGTCTAAACGCCGCGCCAGAAGGGTCTTGAGGAACGCAATCACGAGCGCATACACCAGCTTGACGGTGTCCGGGGATAGGCTTACCTGGTTATACCTGACAGGGCCCTCGGTGTCGGCGGCCTCCGCGTTGCCGAATCGCGCCAGGTAGTGCTGCTCATCGATGCTGCGAAAGAGTGCCTCCAGCAGGAGGCCTAGAAACGCGCGCTCAAGGTGCCTCGCGAAGGGTTCGAGCGCGGTCAGGAAGAAGCGGCACGTGGAGCCCTCGCCGTGCTCTGCACAGTGCGTAGCCGCCGCCTCGACGATCATATCTGCGAGTAGGGTAACGGCGAGCTCCACGGGCGTCAACACCGAAGAGGTGGTCACTTCGTCGGATAGGTGGTCCTCATAGGTGGGGATGCCCTCATCAGGAGGCACTACGTCGGAGTGGGCGCCCTCGCATACGCTCGTGGGGATCGTCAGCTGGGGGGTGGGGTTGGCCGAGGCCTGCGGCCCGCCCTCCCCGACTCCTCGAATAGCTTCACGCTTATACTCTCTTGACAAGAATTCCAGAAGCGTTTGAATCCGACCCGCGGCACTCATCCCGGCGTACATCTCTAACAAGGACTCGATCGCGTCCGCGTTGCCGATGTCGGAATTCAAGATCTCCATTAGCACCGTTTCCGCCAGCTCAAATTTAGACAAGCGACGGTAGCCTACGCCGAGAAGGTAGCGCACGTGATTGACATCTCTAACCGTCACCTCAACCTTCTCCGGCTGGATCAGCGCGGGGTCGAGCTCTTCCTTCCCCAAGCTTTCCAGCAAGGGAGCCTCCTCGCTCTCCTCGACGTCATCCTCTCGTCTTTTTCTTCTTCTTAAGATACAATCTTCACCGTCCTCACCAGTGACGATCTCGTACTCCGGCAATGGTGCCGGTGCTACGTGAAACACATCGTTGTTATCTGATAAGCGCCTCTGGTGTTGCTGAAGCTTCAGGTGAAACAGCTTCGCTGACGTAATGGGCTTATCGACGACGGTTCCCACAAGGGCTGCGAGACGGGGGAGCTCCTCTTCAAGAGTCTGAACCGCGCTCTGGAGCTGCGCAAGGGTACTCGCCTCCGTGAGGAGGACCTTCTTATTTTCCTGAATCCGAAGCGTCGTGTACCCGCTAAACGCGAGGGACTCGCTCTCCATCAACTTTCTCTCCATCTCGATTGCCTCTAGCGCGGACTGGCTCTGAGGGGAGATACGCTCATAGCTCACCATCTGCCTAGGATGGTTGGAAGGGTCTTGAATGTACCCCGAGGGAGTATCCGCGAGTGTGTTCGCGACGATATTGCGGTAGAGCAACGGGCGGGTAGGGCGCAGGAGGGAGCCCTGATGGATCCGCACGCCAAGAGCAGGCGATGTCAGCCTCGGTAAAACCGTCACCACCGGGGGAATGGGGCTTGACAATCGATACGTCGAGAAGGGAATAGTTGACAAGCCGCAATGAGCGCATTTGGGCATCATCCGTTCGCACGGCATGGGTAATCCACAGCGTGTGTGCAAAACTGTGAAAAAAATGCCCTACCTCTTCCTCTGATGACACTTTACCCCTCACTTTATAATCTCGTTCAGAGGCTGTGTTGCAGAAATAAATTAAAAGGGGAAAAAGAGTAGGAAAGCCGAAATTGGAAACCGATTCATTCCCTGAGGTGAAACAATAGTAAATATAAAAACGCTAGTGGCTTCGCTTCCATTATAGCGTCTGAACTATCAAAAAGAAAAATGACAGAAAAAGGCGATCTGATGCAAATTTTGCTGTTAGTGCCTCCCGCTACGTTTTTGATGTACAGAAAGGATTTATCACATCTTTGGGGATATTTTTTCCTTGAAGTATATGACTTATTGGTTACGTTAATGCAAATGTCTGCCCCATAGGTCACTAAATAGATAATTAACTCCATAGTATATTCCTAAATCTCAGATACATAGACACTTAGTCGTTTAATTATTATTTTTTACATGACGTCAACGTCCTTTTATCATATTTCCAACGCCTACTTTGTATATCCAAACACAAAAAGGGCAATGGAAATTTAATTAGATCGATGTCTTTTAATTTCAAGGATAAAATTTAAAAAGAAAAATTCATGCCGATACCCAGAAGTGTGGAAAAAGAATCCATTCCCTAGATAAAGAATCACTGAGTATATATATAGTGCTATCACTATTATCCTTCCTTCTTGTTATCTTAAAACGAATGGTTCTAAGTGACCATATAAAGGAAATGGATCTACAAGCGCAGGTATTAAAAAGCTCGAAGCCTGATACAATAATCCCCTTTACATGCAGACCTTCCCCTAACAAATCACAATGACGCCATTTGAGAAGCAATCGATAAACATACGCAGCCCAAAGTGAAGCATGCCTCTCTGAAACTGATGGTCACTAGGGCCACTTTAGTAGAGTTCTGGATGGTGCCAACATAGGAATGAGATCTCCAGAACTAAGTACGGCAATACCTAACTCCATAGCGCTTTCCATCCCAAAAACCTCACCCCTATACTCGACACTACGACTTGCCCGCATGTGAGACACCTGAGTACGAAGCTCATTCAGAGTCCATGAAGTAGTCCTGGTACATAATATTTGATTTATTCTCAAAAGGCCGGAACCGATTAAAAATATGGTGGTAATCATGATGTAAGCAATCCCGGTAATGTACGTGCATTTGGACTGTATGAGACATCGCATGTCAGCCCCAAATACAGCACCTTTTCTATACCTATCTTTCCATCAAAATTCAAGTATCTTGAAGCGTATAAGTGTACCGTTTTAGTACAAGATGTGATGAATTCAAGGTCAAAGACAATGCACTTGGGAAATGAGAACCATCAGTTGGAAAAAAGTCGCCAGAACTCCGCTGTAGTAGACCGATGCTCGTGCGTGTTGAGAATAAAGAAGGAAATGTCAAATGAGGCATCGGCTAAGGCTTTGAAAAAAAAAAAGGATCCTCATTATAGCATCCTATTCAGCGAGAGCGAGTCGAGATAAAAGACGGTCTCAATCAGTGCCCCTTTATGTCATTGAAGTGGAAAAATAACCCTAAAAACGATTCACAAAATCTAAAATATACACGCATACATATATATATATATATATATTGAAAGACAAAAAAAAAATGAGTCTGATAGGTTCCAATAGGAAGGAAAAATAGGATGCAAAAGTGCAACATGCAATTCAAAACCTTCGAATCAAAAACATTATGCAATAATAACAAAAAAATAATAATTCCGCTATGTGCTGCTGCAGAACGTGTTCATGATGCGCCAAAAGCATTGGAAAAATAAGCGTGAAACATTGCCTCCCCTCTTCTCCCGGCCTTTTTTCTGCAACAACCCAACTTTTGTCTAAGAAAGGAGATCCCTCATGACCGAGCCGCCTGAGCCGGCAAGGGCATTTCCTTGAAAAACGGTGACACGTATGGAAAGTTCCGCGTCTGAATCGCAAACACCTTATAACTCTTCCCCATTTCCTCCTCATCCATCAACCGGCGGTAATTTTGGAGTATCTTCATCGCACTTTTGGTCTCCTCGTCTTTAATGACGTGTGCGAGCCGAACGTCGATTCCGTTGAACTGCAAAAAGTCGTGCTGGGTAATGACCGGGAACCACACCAAATTCCGCCGCGCAATCTCGAGTCTCTCCAGCGCCCAACGCAGCTGGTTAAACGCCACCCAGCTCGACAAATCCACCTCACCAGGAGACAACAGCGGGTCCACGAAGCGATGCGAGCGGATCCCACGCAGCGTGTTCTGCATGTTCTCGTCCTTCCCATAGTCAATAATCAGGCACGCCGCCTTTTGACAGTCGATCATCTTCTTCATGAGCAGCTCCATGTGCTGCATGCCGACCGCGTTGACCTCAATGCAGTCCCCGACCTTTCCCTTCTTCCGTACCTCGTCGGGGATGAGGTAGGCCGACATCGAGCCGGAGGGTGCGTGCACGAGGCGAAAGTGCGCCTCCGTGGCGGGGTCCTCGTCGACCTCGACGCAGGTCTCCACCCACCCCCGCTCCGTGTAGCGAAACTGCGCCACCGGCAGCGCATCGAAGTACTCGTTCGCGATGAAAATCGTGGGCTCAAGGGTGAAGGGCAGGCTCTCGATACTCATCCACCACTTGATCTTGCCCTGGGCGGTTTGGAACTCGCTCAGGGCTTTTTTCTGCTCCTCCTGCCGCGCCGCGCCGACCTCGATGAGGTGGATCTGCAAGAAATGCAAAAGGTGGGGGTTGGAGTAGCGGATTTGGTTGAGCATCGTCCGCATGAGGCTGCCACGACCGGGGCCGAGCTCCACGAGATGCACCACCCGAGGCGTCCCCATCTTCTGCCACGTATCCATCACCCACGCGGCGAGGACGTCGCCGAAGAAGCCGATCTCCGCGGCCGTGATGAAGTCCGCCTTTTCACTCCCAATGACGTGCTTCTTCGTCGCGTAGTAGCCGTGCTGGGGGTGGGTGAGGCAGTCTTTGATGAACTGCGTGAGGGGGTAGTACCCCTGCGTCGTGGCCTTGTTCACGAGCTCCACACACAGCGGCGTCTTGAACTCCTTCCGATTCTTCGAGGTGACGGTATCCCGATCGGGGGTTGACATCTCGCTCGCGTGAAGGTAAACCAAGGAGGGCGTGGTGCGACGAAACGCCGCCGCGGAGAATCGCGAGGTAACACACCTGCGAAGCATTCGGATCGACTTCAATGGAGCTGCGCCCCTTTTAACCCTTTCCGGTTCGTTACTTTTGGGGAGTCTTGGTGTGCTTTCTCCCCCTCCTCGCCTATGTTTCGTTTAGATCCTGTGGTTCAGATTGGCTCGCCCTTGATTCTCTCTACTTTTTCTTGTACAAAACACGAAGGACAAGGGGAAGGAAATAGAGAAAACTCATCACAGAATAGTAATGTATTGCCCTCACGACAAACACCCTTTCCTACATTAAAGGCCATAATATTCACACATAAGTAAACGCAACGGGTTCAGGGATAAAGAGGGATATTTCAGCTTTTTTATTCCTTGCCTTAAGATGGAAATAATATGTATATATATATATGTATATATATATATATATACGGAAACGCGTCCATACATCTGTGAATATTTCTTCCATTGGATCATAGCATATCGAACAACTCACACCTTCGTTGCCTAACAAGTACAGTAAAAGAAAAATACACGGGCACACACAGTTATAATCCCCCCCCCTCCCCCTCCTCCCCTCTCCCCGTTAGCGATTATGTAAGGTGAAGGGATAAGAGCTGTAAAAGAAATTCTGAATTCCTCAAATAAGCAGGTATGCAAAGGGAAAAACAGCTTTCGCTCGAGTGAATTGAGCATACTTTATATAACACCATGAATTCTATACACACACGGGTGTTTTATAGATGATATTTCACGACATTCACAAATGTGGCGTGATTCATAAGGACTACCGACTCCTAACGTCAAGGAAGCCCCATTTTCCATGAGCACGCGGGCATGACACCACCAGCGCGGTCCTAGATCAACTCTGTGGGGGGGAGGGGGGGGCTCGGATTTGAGCACCGCCGCAATCAATACCCTTCAAAATGATTCTTATCGAGGGAGAAAATGGGGATCACGTCTTCGACATCGCTCACATTCCCTAAAGAACTGTAATTTTCCCCCCTGCACGCTTGCCATCCACTCTCATCATCGAGATGAGCCCCCGACGCGACGTCCATGCCAGTTAGCGACGAGTGGCTGGGAAAACTTGTGAGGCACTCCACATCCTCCGCCTCAATGGTGCACGCAGACCCGGATTGATCCGAGACGCCACGAAAGGAGAAGTTGCTCTCCTCCTCCTCTTCGTCCACAATCGCATTCGTGATGGTGGCTGGCCCCTCCTGCGAAGGCAGACAGAAGTGATTCACCCCTTGAACGAGACGAGGAGAGACGTGAAAAGACCTCGGTGTGGTTGGAATTCTCTTTTGAATGGATCGCCGCTGGCGGAGAGGAAAATGGGATTCGACGCTATCCCAATGCGTGGCCTCACGGCTTCGTTGTGGAGGGAGTGTGGCAAGGTGCGGTCCGAGACCAAACCCATCCGTAAGCCCCACCTCCCCCACCGAACTCGCGGCCTCGCTGGAGGTGCTCACAGATGGAGTAGCGGTAGGAGTTGTCATGCCGGTGGAGGCTGTGGAGGAGGCTATCGACGAGCTGAAGCAGCGGGCGAGAGCGGCCTCGCACATCTCCGGCGGGCGCCGATGTGGCGACGCCACGGGGGTCGCCTCCCCTCCTCCTCCCTCTTCTCCCCTCGAAAAGTTCCGCATGGGCTCCTCCCCCCCTTGTGGGCTTCTCACCTCCACCTCCTTCGCCTTCTCGCTCGGGGATAAAGCGGCCTCACTGCAACCTAGAGCGGCACAGGAGCACACGCAATGCGGGGTGGCCGCGAGACCTCGCCAGGGATGTGAAGAAAGAAGCCCTCCTCCCGCGTACCCCCTCCACGGCGCGGCATCCGGGCACACCACGCACGGACTTCCATACAAACACGACAGCAGCAACGACGCGATCGGGCCGTTCCCCGCAAAGTACCCCATGGGATCCACCCGGGAGAGGGTGAACGGCATGATCGCCACCGTGCACGGCCAATCCACCCCTTCCCACGCCTGAGGGGCGTCGTCGAGGACGGCCACGGCGCGCGGACGACTCCTGCCAGGAGGGCAACCCCGCCTTTCGTCGTGGAAACGAAGCACCCAACGGGTGCTTTTGCGCACATCCAGCGGACGCCGTAGTCGCGCGGCGGTCGCCGCCGACCCCATCGGAGACGGCGGCCCCGAAAAAGAGGGGGAAAGGGAAGAAAAAGCGGAAAAAGAGGGCGCCCACCCACCCTGGAGCTCGTTCTCCGTAATCACTTGACAGCTAGGGTGGGGGAAGAGGATGGCGCCGGGGTCGAGGACCTGCGCGACGGCCGCCCGCGCCCGCGCCCCTGCCGATCGCGTAACGAGAATCAACGGAATCCCCCATTGCACCGCGAGGCGATGCAGCAGCTGACGAATACCCGGGCGCACGTAGAGCACCTCCGTACAGGGTGGCGGAGAAGGGGTTGAGGCCTTCTCCTTCCCCGCCTCTTTTGGCCCCTTTCCCCCTGCCTCCGCCTCCTCCTCCGGCGCGGCTTCCTCGGGAAGCCGTCGCCCTCGGCCCTTCCCCGCGACCGAGCCGTTGCCGGGGTAGTACGTCACCAACGCGCGCTCCTCGTAATGCAGCGTCCCCGTCCGGTCTCGGATCACCCGCGTGCGGGCAAAGAAATGGGCGAATAGGTTATTCACCCCATAAGGGGACCGCGAGACCCCGGCCCCGGGCGCCCTGCCCGTTGGGACGACCTCACACGGGTTGGTAAACCCGCCCCCCCGCCTCCGCCCTCGCGGCCCGGCGGGCGCGCCCGCCGTGGGATCGTAATGGCGTTGTCCAGCACCGTGCGATCCATATCCACCATCACCGCCTTTTCCGCCCGAAGCGACTCCCATAACGGCGCGACGTAGT